AATGAGAGACACTGCCGACAACATAATTGAGTTCCTTCTAGTTTGTGGCCATCATAAACTGTACCAAGTGTATACACCTGTCTTACCCCTTGGTGGGTCAGTAATTACAAGGTTTTCATTTTGGGACATTTTGCTGTCACCTGGCAGCCATTTGTAACCAACTAATGCACATCCATTCAGAATGAGGGCCATGTTTCCTAGGACTCTCTTTCTCCTTAATTCCTTTTTGCTGACCATGATCAAAGCTCCTTCCATCCGAGTACCATGCTTATCATTTACTTCTGCAAAAGTTGGCTGTAAAGAAATGCCAGCAGCGATGTGCTTGGCTCGCTTCCCAAGATCTAGGTCTAAACTTCTACAAGACTGCCAAATATGATCTTGGGGAGAAAAAAAGATAATCAAGACAAAAGATAATTAACCTGTTGATCCAGGCACTGAGTATTCACTACTGACGGTGAAAGGTGTTAAATAAAAAGTTTAAGGACTGGACTACATTAGCTATCAGAATCCAGGTGGGAATAATGAGAAAGAGGCAAATTAAAAATTCTACATCCAGATCCAGATCTTGACTTAAATTACAGGCAGTAAATAAATTTGTTGTGATTCAGCTGATATTAAAAATGGCTTTATCGGGAGGGAGACATCTTTCCCATTAAAGTTACTAAGGAAATGAAGTATTTCATTAATCTGAAATATGAACATCGATCTGAAATTTTGGGGGGCACTTTTTCAGAAAATAAAGGACTGACTAAGTAACAGTCCCATGAATCTTTAATGTATTCTTGTGAGGATGTCTACAGACAGCTGAAAGGCAACTTTTGGCTTTCAGCAAATCGATAATAATCAATATTTGTATCTCTTCAAAGTCAATGCTTTGTGCTTAGTTAAGTGTAGAATACAATCAAAGGAATTGGGGAGCACTCAGTTTTCCAGAGACTTTAACACAAATGACAGTTTACCTGCAGTATGTACAGATGAAAGTAGTGAGATTGTTAGGGCTACAGAGGAGCCTTTTTTCCCCTTTAATAGTTGAACAGCATCCCTGTTACGCACACTATGCATAAATAAGATGAAATTGTTTGCTCAGATGGTTGGTTGAGTAGACATAGGCAAAGCACTTAATAGTTGCAAGTACATAGTTTCATAGTAATTCTTAGGAAACCATATATACACGGTGTACTATGTTCCCTAAGCCTGCATAACTGTCAGCAGATCGATCACTCAAGAAATTCCCATTCAACTTCCGACAGCCAAGCAAATAAAAGTAAATCTTGAGGGACCACGGTCATTTCTCAGTTTCACTGGCGTGTGCAAAGAAGTGCAAGCTTCTTTCATGCAGCTGGAATAGAGCCCAGTCTGAATAAATGAGGCAAGCAGCAAAATCTGATCAAAGCTCTATAAAATATTCTTCAAAGCAGGAAAGTTTTCATTTCTGTCCTTTTGAAAGTGAAATGACTGGCAGGAAAAAGGTAGAAAAACACTGACCTAAATTTCTTCTTCACTGCACTGAAGATTTGTCTGTTCACTTCTAAGACAACTTTTGTAGAAATGAAGCGGGGTAGATCCTATATCTTGAACATGAACATATTGTTTGAAATTAGGTTAATGGGTGGAGCAGTAAGCAAGCCCATATTACACTTTCTGGTGTTGCTATCGCTGGCATTGAGTCACAGCCCTGAACTTCTGACAGCATAGATTAGGCTGTGGAAGACAAGCAGTGTTATAAAAAAAGGTTATAAAGAGAGGAGTTATCAGTTGCCTTGGTAATTGTTTATCATGTTGTGAAGCATCTTGGACTAAAAGATGGCAGGGGTGTTAAACAGCCAGCCACAGCTACCATACCGTAATGAGGTCCTCAACCCCTGCCGCTGAAGCTGGAACGGGACTGACAGAGTGGCAGAAGGAAAGGCAAGATCTGTGCGCGCTCTCTGGAGAACACAGTGAGAATTCAAATGATCTTCATCAACTGAATAAATGCCAAAAATCAGCAAGATGAAATTCAGTAAAGGCAGGTGGAATGGGCTGCCCATTGGAAAGAGAAAACTGATGCACCAAGGCAAAATCATCCTTTCAGCTGGCACAGAAGGACCATAAGAAAACTGGAAGCTGGTAATGTTAATGCTACAGTGAGGCAGTCCAGCCTCAGTCTTGCTCGCAGAGTGGTAGATGGGAGCTCCTTGGCGCTAGAGACCTCAGCTGCTGTCAGTGACTGAACATTTAAGAAAGATGGAGATAATGGGGAGAGCTTGGATGAATGAATCAAGAACATAATAGACTTGAAAATCATGAGCTCTGAGGAAAGGTTTAAAGACCTGAATTTAGTTTATGTGGGAAGTGTCTTTCACTGTTCTGAAGAGGGGTCTAAAGAGGATGAGGATGGCCACCACTTCCACTGCTCCCTGGAGTCCACAGAGAGCTAAAACTGTAGGCGCTGCAGAAAATGTTCATCAATAAAAGAACTTTGAGTGTAGTGCCCAATGCATTTTTTTGTGTGTCTTGAAAATATTTGTCAAGTTCAGAGGCAAAGTACACGTAGTCATCTCCCCTGGTGGAGATTTGCGTACGAGTTTAGAGCCTACTGGTGCTATCAACTTCTGCTTCATTAGAAGAGGAGGTAGGAGAGCACGTGGTGGGTAGAAAGGTCCCAGCTCAGCTGATGGCTGATGCAAGATGGACATGTCTGGTGAAATTTTGTTTTTAAGATTTTTTAATACCTAAGAAGTTATTTCACAGATTCGCTAAAACAGCTCATTCCTTAAAAACTTGCAAAGCGTCCTACAAGATAGATGCCAGAGTAAGAGTTGCCCAGGCAAAGAGAATGGGGAAGAGGTGGGACACAGGCACACACATCGCAGCATGATCAGCACTGAAGAAGGGCTGGACCAGAGCTCTGTGTAAGTTAATTTCTCCTCCGCAAGGGGGACCACGAAGAGGTGCTGAGGAGGGGTGTATGAATGGGGCACGCATGGAAGGTACGCTCGCTCGGCGTCATCTCTTAGCTGCTGCCTGTTTGCAACTCAGGGACTTTCTGAGCCCTGAATGGTGCCTTGTGTGGTGATGCAGGACAGTGACATTTTTGCTCCTAAACAGCGCAAGGCACGCAGGTCATATCTGACTGTTTCTTACCTTCGCTCAGCGTAGATAGCGACACTGGGGTTGTTAACGGCTCAGTACTGTCTGTGACGGGGGTGGATGTGATCAAGTCACCCGTTTCTGTGAAAGAATGATCTGGTGAAGCTTTGAGGGAAAGAACAAATAGGCACAACGAACAATAATAACCAAACATGAATATGAACCAGAATTAAATTTTTGGTTAAAATTATCTGGATTTGTCATTTTGTTAGAAAAGCATGAAAATACAGGAAGCTTTGTTTCAAAGAACAAACATGGACTTGTCTCTTGTACTTCTACCTGAGTCTCTATCACCACATAATAGCATGATAAAGAATTATTTAAAATTTGCATTTTTAAGCTTCTTAGCTATTGGAGAATGAAGCAATGTGTTCTTAGCCCTCTTTATGAAAACTTCATTGCATATATTTTCCATACAGTATGGCTTTCCCTTAGCTCACTTAGACTCAAAATTGATTTTAGCACTATAACTTTGTCTTTGTAACCTGTGCTTAGTTTTCCTGGTGTAGATACTGCCTCAGTCTCTTCATTTATTGAAGGGGATGCAAAGGAGGAATGCAGGAGTATTGAAGGGACTGTGAAAGTGTGGAGGAAATACATTACTGGGGAGAAACACTGATCTCCTTGGTGAGAGAGTCCGACAGGGGTGAGCGGGAAAATGTAGAAAACTGGCTTCTGTACTGAGTCAGGTGGTGGCTTCTACGTCTTTCGGGTTGGGATAGGACTGTCAAAGATTATTGAATCTTTAAGGTGAAGATGTCACAATCTGATTTAATCATTGATGCTCTCCACTTTTGCCCAGACAAAAGCACTGATATTTGGGCACTTTTGCTGATGCTTAAATTATGCAAAAAATACAAACACCTTAAAGCCCCAAGCTGTTCATAATTACATGTCTCCCAAATTTGACAGCCCAGTGTTTTAGGAATGAAGGTTCTAGAAGCTGGATTCTTTCTTCATGAAGATGATTAATTAGCAGTTGACTGATCTTAAATTTTATACCATTATTGTAATCCTACTGCATCCATTCAGCATTTGCAGCTCCCGGCTGGAGTAGTGGTAGTGGCCTTAGTGATAGCCTACCCATGCTGCTGGAAAGCCAGCAGGTTGGTACCCAGCAGAGGAAATTCATAGACAAGCGTTAGCTGCACTGGGAGATGGAGATTTTGAAACATTTCTTGGTATCTCCACTGATATCCCCTCCTAATCAAAACTTATAACCACATTTTTTCTAACATGTTGCATGTTGTGCAAATGTCCTTTACCTGTCTGCAGCGTAGTCAGGATTTCGGATGTACTGCTTTCCTCTGCGACGGCGGTGGAATCAAGGGAGGCAACTGTGCTATCACAGGCTATAAGGATGAGCAATTAAATGGTTGCAAGTAGCAATTAAAAGCACAAGTGTGATTTGACGAGCTTGTGACTTGCTTTAGGTCTCAGGCTTGAGAAAAACCTGTGTTATCAGTCTGCTAAATAACTGGAGGGGCAGAGGGCCAACCGAGGGAGGTGAGCACAAATACCTGGCTGTGCTCCTTAATGTTTCTGGAGTTTTTATGAATCTTGGATGCACAAAATCACAATGATCTGGACACTTTTGCTTTACAAAATTGTAAGCATAGTATTTATAGCTACAAGCTCAGAGTTATTAATCATTGCATGCATAAATTCCTGATATGTCCCGACAGACTGATATTTTTAAAGTGAAGATGTTGTAAGATGTTGTAGCTGTCTGCTATGAATATTTTACAGATTTACACGGCAACATCTTAATCCATCTGAAAACCCCAAATTAACAGAATATTTGTTTTAAATAGCACTTGCAAAATGGTTGTCCTTACCTTTATTAACTGTGGTTGGGATTTCAGGAGCTGATGTGACATTTTCCTCTGTGACAGTAGTGGACGCAGAAGATGCAGCTGTGGCCAAGAGGAAGTTGAGGAAATAAAAAGAAGGAATTGGGGGTGAACATGTGAACTGAAATCTTGGTGAAAGTAAGTAGATTTGGGCTTTGCAGGACAGTGAGTCAATGCATAGCCCTTTATTTTTGCTGAAAAAAAAGACTTTCACCTTCATTTAATATTTAATAATAAAGATAGTAGATATTTCTGACCGCATTCTTTTACTACTGGGAATGCAACAGTCATTTGGAAAGATGCAAAGTGGCCATTGTTAGGGGAAATAAGGAACAAGATTTGTCTTGTGCTTTGGAAGTGACTTCCAGCATGCAAGTGTGCCTCACCTTCCTTGAGGGTTGTCAAGGTCCCTGGAGCAGGCGATGTCTCAGTCCCTGCTGGGCTCAAGCTGGTTGCAGAGGAGGAATCTGTGGAGGTGGCCAAGGGATGAGGAAACATGTTATTAAACAGAAACACCACCATGTAAAAGAGAAGGGTCTGTGAAATCATTAATACTTCAGGCTACATAGAAAAGAAAAACAGTTCCTCAGACTTTAACTCTTGGTAATGTGGCTCAGAAGAGCATGTTCCCATTAATAATCATAAGTAAACTTGGGAGACTGATGCAACTGGTGCACCTCTCAGCAGGGTATAAACACACCTTATTTCCATTCTACCTTTGCACTAACTTAAGAACCAGGAAAAACTAAGCATGATTATTAAAAGAATTGAACATGAAGAAAATATTCAGGTAAGAGTGCCTCAGATGATCCAATTGTAAAGATCTCACCATACATACATGCAGACTTGATACCTGTATATGCAGGTAGACTTAATCACATGCCCATTTTCCCTCCAACCATATTTTCTTAAGAAAATGAAGATGGTGTTGGCCATTGGCTCTTCCAAATCTAATTACATGCAGAGTTATTAAATATTTCTACTGAATTCCCGCTGTTCCTCCTGTCTGCTCTAAACAAATTACATATACTTCTCAAAATTTCCACCCATTTGCAGTTTGGTTTTTTTCCCCTGCCTTTAGCAGCAGAAGTCAGGGGTTCTGTGGTAGGTGTCACAACCATGCTGTCTGTGGAAAATGTTGATGTAAAAATGGAAGTTTTGGGCTTCTCTGAGGATGCTGTAAGTTAGAGGAAATAAATTATTAGAGAACTTACAGCGGAGCCCAAATCAGTGTGGTTAATTCAGCCCTGTTCACATGGCTCTGCTGCCTACAGGACCTGATCTATCACAACAGGTCATCGTTGGCTGTGCTGGTGAGATAACCTCATGTAACTGGTGTGCCCGGTATGTTCACACTCACGAACAGGTCTCACCATCTTACCTTTTGGTTTAAATACACCTTTTATCCACTTTGAAAGTTTCCATACTATGTTGTGATGTCTAGGGGCTGAGCCTTCCGGTGACTTCCACAACGTACCACTTGCTGTGGCAGATAAGAAAACATATTAGCATTGATATAATGTATCACAATTCTAGGCATATTCTATATTTTGCTGTGAGATGGTACCTGGTATGTGTTGATACAGAGTTAGATACAGTTAGTGTTGGTATGTGGTGTGTTTTCAAAGCAATTCTGTGGTTCCTCTCTGTGTCTGGAAGGACATGCTCATTTCCTCATAGTTCAGTGGAAGATGACTGTAGAGGACTTTATTTCATGGCAGCACAAAGAGCAAAGGATCTGACTCCAGAAACCCTCAGGTACATCCTTCATCTCCAGTGAAGACACAGGCTTCTGGGAGCTGGGCTCTGCCAAATTTCACTGGGGTGGTAGAAAGGGTTACTTACCTTTGCCATATGTGATGACCACAATAGCACAGGAGGCCATGGATCATTTATCTGTGCAGACTGTGACAGTTGTTTCGGCTGACAGCCCAACATGTTAGATTAAGTCTTTGCAAATGCATGCTCAGGTCTGCATGGGAAGCCCAACTTTGTCTAACTCTGCAGTGGAAAATAGACTATATACTGCTTAAGGTATGTATGTTTGATTAAACCAGGCCAGTGGCATCATGGGTCAGATACCAGGGGATGAAATGATCTTCCAAAACAGGATACAAACCTGTGGTCTGATTCTGTGGTTTTGATAATCTGTAGTTTTAGTCATATAAATACCTTTGAATATCTATTTATATACACTGAAAGGAAAAAGGATTTAGGCTGCTGGGAGTCAAAACAATGTTTTCAAATGGCAGCTTTTAAAAATAATATCCTTGCTCTTTCAGAATTAGCATCCTCTGAGGAGCTGTGCCTGATTCAATCACTAAAATAATTTTTTTTTTTTTTTCAGTTTGACATTTGGTCTTCAGACACTCACTTTCACAGACTTTTACTTTAGTGATACCAAAGTCTTGGGTTTGCAAGACAGGATCCTAAGTGATTTTTCCACTCAAAGTCTACATCAGGTCAAATCAAAGACAAAAGTGAACCTATTAAATAAGAACAAAGATCATAGGGTTGCTGAAGGGCTGGGATTTGACCACCTTCTTGAAATGTAGCTTAGTCCTCTTTGATGCTGAACTTCCCTCTGGGTTGCCTTTGCTCTTGTTTTATAAATAATTCAATACTGGGATTGACAAGACTTTATTCATGGTGGTCACACTGATAATTAGAGATCAAAGTATCTAATTCAAACTATCAAGATTATAAGGAAGGTTTGGGGTTATTGTTGTTTGAAGCCTGAAGGAACATGGCACTGCAGTAAAGTATACTTTCACCTGGGTCTGGCAGGCTGCTCTGTGTTTCTTTTTCTCTCTTTCTCTACATTTTAAAATGTACAGTATAGAAGAACTTAAATTCAAAACTAGAATATTTGAAGAAGAACACCTAAGGAACAACTTCCCCAAACTATTCCCCTCACAGAAGAGAAACAAAGAAAATATTCTTCGGCCTTCTTCATCCCACAACCTTCATAGGTTATATTTTGAAATATAACCTAGGGATTTGATCTGAATCTTTGAATTAGAAGACAAATCAAACCATCGATTTTATGGTACAAATCTTGTCAGCAAGATTTAACCATTTCACTGCAAGCATAAAAAAATTTTAGACACAGTACCTGGTTCAGATAGGAGAGTAGCACTCAACAGCAGCAGCCAAGTGAGACTCACTTGAAGGTCCATTTTCATTGTGGTTGCCTGTTCTAACCCAATGCAGTTTCAGAATTTATACTAAATGGGTTCTGGTCTACACCAAAGGTGTGTGCTGTGCAATTTGACCTTTCTTCCTGAACTTCCAGATCAATGCCAAGGAAGTGACTTACTGAGTATTTTCATTTCACAGGGTACATCCAGACATCCGGATAAGTAGATCCAGATCACAGCACTGTTCCGGGATGGCTACCAAGATATTCCCAAACACTCCCCAGGCACCTTTGTGGCCATGTGCTGATGATGTGGTTGTTCCAGGAAGCAGTGATTTGCTTTTGGAGATTAGGCTGTTTGGTAAGGATTCCCATACCACCAGTTAAGTCGGTTTCCAATTTACAGCCATACTAAACCAGATTCAATTGGTGTGAGAATTGTGCCAAAAGAAGATTAGCATCCTAAAAATGTCAGGAAAGTCTCAAGCAAATTCTCTCTGTCCGCTACAGATTACTGCTGTAAGAAGCAGTTTCTAAGCTTCATCATATTTCTCTGACCCTCTTTAACCTGGGCTAGATCCCTCCAGCACGTTTCAGATCTGCAGTTATCTCTATCCTACTTGCAGCCTGTAAGAGATAATGACCAAGGTATGGTTCAGTAAGAAGAACTGCTTTGGGGGTAAATAAGAAGGGCAGTTGCTGAACTACAGCAACCAGTGAAATGGAGCCAGATAGGGCCAGAAGGTGCTAAATTAAGCTAAAACTGTGCAAGTCAAGGAATCTGTATGTTAAAACAGATGGGCATGACCAGCTGCCATGCCCTGTTCTTGGGGAAGACCATTATAGACTGAAGTCATGGGGCCCTATGCAGTGGTCTACACCACTGTGATCCCCAAGAAAATGGTGAGTGCTGATGTGGCACAGTAGGGAAAATCCAAATGATCCTTATGAATCATGAGGTTGCTGAAGGGAATTAGTTACCTTCGTTGCAGTACTATAAATGCTGGACAAAATGAAGACTCCACTGACCATTTAAGCCCTGCTCTCCATCTAGCAGTTTCACAGCAGGTATGTCTCTGACCAAACCAGACTGAGATTTTCCCCTTGTCTTCAAAGGACAAGTGCACATGCTATCTGACAGTCCTGTGTGTTACATCCCTCATAAACATAGACTGCACAGGGCCTAAGAAAGCAGAGCCTTCGTGTGTTAGGACCTATGAGACATGCTTTTGGATCTGTGAGATACTACACAAAACAATCGAGGCACAACGTATTTTTTGGGTGAAGGGGATAAACTAGAAACAGGTTTTTATTGTACTGGCAAGAGATATGCAATCATAGGATGAGAGGTAGTAGATATTCTAGTGACAGTATAAATACAAATTAATAAAGGACTAGGAAAAAACATGAAAAAAGTCATTGTGAAAATATACAACTGTTTTCATGGTATCTTTTCAAATTAGGTGACTTGCATGAAAAAAGGGAATCCCACCAGGACAGGCCATCCTATACAGCTGGAGAAGATTTGCCTCTAGCAAAGCCACGGATCCAGCAGGATCCCTCTAGCCACACAATCTTCTCCCTGGCACTACGTGGTGGTGTCAACAGTACTGTGTCCTCTGATACCCCAAAGGATGCCTCCAGCTCCAGAAGATGGGTCTCAGCTAGAGATAGAAAAAAAGCAAAGCTAAATTTTGTTAGATGATTTCAAAATGAACATCAATTCTTTCCTTCTGTGAATGCTTTTCTTATTTTCTTAGCACAGTATGATGTGTGATATCTATCTAGATAGCCATGTTCTTACGTTCACAGTACCCTCTTGAGCAAAACCAGTCATATCAAGTATCTAAACTCCTAGTTCCTTGAGCGTGTATTGCTTGAATTCAGTGTCATTTCCTGAAGTGACTAAATGTGTTTACGGTAGATCCTTATCAATATGCTTCTACCCAAGTAGCTATAAGCTGGGCCTGAACAGTACGGTATGTACCAGCTATCTTTCCTGACAGCAGGTAAGCTATTTTATACTAACTTTTTTCACCTTTGAATGAAAAAGAAATTTTAGAAATAGTCCAAAACTCCAACTGAAATCTCATGAAGATTTTATTCTCAAACAAATGACAAACAAATTTGTTTTATCTTGTGATTGACCCAGACCTAAGTGCTCTGGATTTAAGGATTTGGATCTGAACAACATCTGATATGCATGTGCCATTTCAGTGCACTTCATATCCATCTTACAATGAAAGTTATTTTTTTGGTTGATGCTGGACTTTCAATAATATTCTCTCTAGGAAGTGTAGAGTCCTGTAGAAATAGCCAGTGTGTCAGTCTGGTGAATCAGCCAAGCAGTAAAGCTACTTGTCCAAGAAACCCCATGCAGCAGGAGCATGGGTGTTAATGGGAAGTGGGGACAGAATTCACATTATCTAGTTGTAGGCATCTAATCTATTTATAAACTAAGTGCTTAATCAGTGGCACTTCAGTGCACCTCTATTTGGAGCCTTGATGTAGGGATAGGAAGATACGGGGAACATGGCTGAATGCAAATATCTTGAATATGGAGAAGCGTCAAGACTTGCTTTTTCAGCATTCCTCAGTCTCTTTTATAAAACAGGTCCCAAAGAAGACATCAGTCCCTGCGCACACGCAGAGGGCTGAGGACTCCACTACCCAGGTCTTGCCTAGCGAGGCTGGATCTCACCTTAGGCTATTTTACACCATATTTAAGAAGTGATGGCGGTAGGTGCGAATGCTAGCAGGGGCAGAATATCTGTACAGCTGATCTGTAGTGATAGGTGACAAAGTATGACCAGCTTCCACATTAAACATCGCAGCTCCCATCATGGGCATTGAAGGTGCCATTGGAAAGGAGCTGGTGAGACTTCAGTCCAAAGCTAAGCAAGCAGACTAATCCTGTGTGGCAGGAACCAGCAGTGATGACAGCAGGGCTGACCTTTGTGGTCTTGGAACAAAGCTGTTTCCCAGAACATCTTCTTAAAGAAATCTATCAAAATTTGTTAATAGAAAACAAGCAGCACTTGTCTGTAGTGAAACAGGTTTATGCTGCAGGTTGGGTGTTAATCGTTCTTCGTGGAGTGAACTTTTGCTGCACTGGCAAAACCCCTCCCTGGAAATAGCTTTTTTTCCATTTTTTTTCTAATGACACATGAATTCCAGTGTGTCTTTTGTATTGTGAAATCTAACATCTGAATATTGAGGACATAGGATATGTAAGGTGTGGGATATGTGTGCATACACAGCCAGATGTACGTAAGTCTGCCTATGTATGTGACATATTCTCCATAGGGCACCTGCTAAGGGGCAAGTTCTCCATGAAGTCATGCTGCTCTGCAGCTCTGGCCAGGCAACTTCTCCAGCATTTGCAAACAAAAGTAAGCTTGCCAAAGGCATTTAAACATCTAATTTCAATAGAAAATTAATGTTATAATTTCCATAAGAATCTAGGTCTGATGTAGTTTAAGGGGCTAAAAGCAATGGGAAAAGGCAAAGCCTGGAGAAGAGAAGACTGAGAGGGGACCTCATCAATGCATACAAATATCTTAAGGATGGAAGTCAAGAGGATGGAGCCAGACTCTTTGCAGTGGTGTCCAGCGACAGGACAAGGGGCAGTGGGTACAAACTGAGACATAAGAGGTTTCACTTGAATATGAGGAAAAACTTCTTTACTTTGAGCGTGACGGAGCCCTGGCCCAGGGGGGTTGTGGAGTCTCCTTCTCTGGAGATATTCAAAGCCCTCCAGGATGTAGTCCTGTGTAACATGCTGTAGGAGAACCTGCTTTAGTGGGGGGGGTTGGACTAGATGATCTCTCGAGGTCCCTTCCAACCCTTGCGATTCTGTGATTCTGTGAAAGCTGTTCTGGAGGCTTCTGCCACTGGAGGGCAGCGAGGCACTGTCCTTTAGGGAGTGAGCACGTTTTAGATAAGATGTTCTAACACCACCCCGCTTTTGTAGGGTGCATAGAGAGGCCTCTGCTTTAGCAAATAACTTTAAAAGTAAGCAGAGGTGAAAATAAACACATGCAAAAGAGACAGCTACAAGCAGCAGGACAGTTGTTTCCATTCCTCACCTCTCTCCTGCCCAAACGGAGATCAGAAGAAACTCTGGCCCACCTCAGGCATCCATCTATTTCATTGTCCCTTGCAGCTCTTCACTCGTTATCACTTAAAAAGGTTATAAACATGGCCCCTGATAGCTCTCATATCTAGTATTTGTAAAGAATTTCACTGCAGTATCTCTGAAGGAATAAGCTAGGGCTGACTGCCTTTCTCCTATACATGTATTTCTTGTACAAATACTTATCTGTATTTCATCTTTCCTGAAAAAAAGGAATTACTAATGTGTGAACTCACAAAATCGTGCACTTTTTCCCATGCTATAGTAATGTATTTGTTATTTCTTTAAATATACTTACTTCACTTTTGAGATTTTTTATGCAACAAGTCCTGTTTTTTTCTGAATCAGTTGTTTTCCCAACAGTCTTGTAATGGCCATGGCTAGTGCCCTGCCATAGTGGAGGTGCTCGCAGTGCTGTATAAAACAGCCCTGGCAGCTCTCAACTAGTGGGGCTGAGAGACCAGCGTGCCGAAACCTGGATCCCCCCCACAAATGAACTCATCTGCCCCTTCAGGGCTGACCTGGGGAGACAAGGGAAATATTTCTCACAGGTCACGAAACACCTTTGGTAAGGACCTGCTTAGGTGTTTAAAAATAGTGTCTTCTGAAGCATGATGAAAAATGATTCAGCTAAATCTACTAAAGACAAGCAAAACCATTGATTTCAGAAGAAACGTCATGCTTTGTTTCATCAGTTTTACCTTTTGTTTCTGAAAGCAGAGAAGAAGGATCAACTTCAAAGGAACTTTTGAGGCCTTTAAGATATACATGTAAATGAAGGTTCCTTATTTTTTCTACTTTGAAAAACACCTGGAAACAAACATGGGAATGAAATAATATGTTGTCAAAGAGCAGCAAGGTGGTCAAGATGCACAAGGAAAAGTGATCAAGCAGAGGAGCTAAGGACTGCTTTTTTTTCTACTTTTCCCAGCCCCGATCCCTGCTGCCTCAGGCAGGGCCAGCAGAATTACCTGATAACAGCAGTCCTAGTCCTGCGTACACGCATACCTGTGCACGCCTGGGATTAGCAGGGAGCTGGGTGCAATATGTGTGCCACAAAAGATGATGAATAGCTGTTGTACAGCTTTGTGGTATGATTTGCATTTGAAAATGCAATATTCTGCTGAGGTTTGGGCACTCTGGGTATGTGCTGGGTTGCTTGCTCCTATTAAGGGCAATGATGTTGTGTATTCACTGCTGCTGTTACCCATGCCATCTATATGAAGATGTGTAGTGCCCTAATATTTTTGCTTAGCTGTCCAGACATATTTTCAATTATAATTAAAATGCATATTCTTTCAATGCATTCTTTCTTCATGTTTTCTGTCTGCCAGCCATTCCACTAAATTCAACCCTGGTAAGTTCTGAAGTGAAGGGTATTTTTGCACACTGCAGAATGTATAGAGAAAAGGGCAATGCCCAGGTGAAGTGAATCACATCCCTGATAACATAACCTTCAAACAGGTTCCCCTCACTTATGGTGAATTTATTGGTATAAGCAAAGTGGAAACTTCACATGTGAAGCTATCTTCTGTGGACAACACTGAGTATTGGGCACGGGGTCTGGCTTCCCAGTTCCAGAGGAGAATTGCCTTGGGATAAGGATGTCACTGTCCAGCCTCTGGAAGCCCCAGTCCACCCCTGTGAATCCCATGAGTGAAAATCTTTGTCAGAGACAAAGGCTGTGCCAAAGTAACTGGGTATCAGTGATCTTGGCTCTGTGCACAGTTCGACAGGTCATTTCATCCTGATATCCTGCTGA